TTCCCTACAATTTCCAGAGCCTGCAAAGAACAGTTCCTGTAACATACTGAGCACTCAACAAGCATGTGTTTAAAAAAGAAAGACAGTCTGGTTGAGAAGTGTCAGGAAACTGATGAATAAGACCTAGCTGGGGAAGGACAGGTGAAAATTCTCAGTGCCCTCACGCCAAGCCACATGGTCAGGGCTCCCCTCCCCATGAGTGAAGCCACATTGATTTACTGTCGGCGTTTCACAGAATAGTGGAGTGAAGAGACTTTCCCAGTTATAAAGTCAGGGTTGGCAGATTCTTCAGAAATCATTGATAAGTCTGTAAATGCCACATATGAGACAAGATGAGCAATGTTTCCCCAAAATATGTAAGGAACGGTGAAACTCCTTGGTCCTGGGAGAACTGACATGACCCCCAGGAATAAGAAGAAGGTGTTATAGGAAGAACATAGATTTGACTCAGGAGGACCTGAGTTGGACTCTTGGTTTTATCACTTAGTCGCTATAAACTTTGACTTAACGAGTTACTTATTCTGTTTCCATATTTATAAAATGCGAGAAATTTGGGGCCCTTAGAATTGTTGTGAAAACTAAACGAATATTTCAATAGTGCTTTTGTATTTCCTGCCACACAACAGTGTTCGATATATATATTTACACTTCCCACTCGTCTCTTCTTCATCTGTTTTAATCTCACCAATTGGCGTGCCATGTGATTTTAGACATATAAGAGGTTTTCCCCTCCAAAATCCTCCTTCACTGACTTATGCATATTTCATGTCTATAATTACAAATTCATTTAAAAATACTTATGGAATGCCTGCTAAGTGCAAGCACAAGGTTTAAAACCCTGTAAGCGATGTAGGACACTGTCTTCAGTGTCTATGAAGATGGGAAACTAAGCCTAAGAATTTATTTTCCTGCTGCCTAAAGTCTCATTAAAATGACCAAAGAAATACAAAAAGAAGAAAAAAGGAGATATCTGAGTGAGGGAAAACAAGAGAAATGATGGAATAAAAAAGCCTTAAGGACTTTCGTACCATATTAATCAAATTATATCAGATCCAGAAATGAGTCTATTGTACCCATGCCAAGCATTTAACCAAAGCAAAAAGAAGACCCCCGAGGCTCCCTCTCCCATCTCAGAGTAAGAGCGCACAGAGGCAAGGGGCAGTTTGCAGGAAGGTAGATTCAAGTTCAATATGTGAACTTCACAGTCCTCTGTACAAGGCTTTCCTCGGGCTTTATGTAACTAAACCTCCATAAACGAAGTGAAGAACTTGTTGAATCGGTGCTTCTCATAGGTTAAGTGTCAATGAGGAAAGGCCAGGAGTGTCCAGCTAATTTCTGGTCACTGTAAACATGGGCATGGGGGATACAGCTCAGTACAGCAGTGGAATTAACCCCCCTGGTACTTCTCCTGTATTGAATAGTTTCTCTCCAGAAATTGTGTCTTGGAACCTGTGAAGATGACCTCATTTGGAAATAGGGTCTCTACAGATGTCATCAAGTTAAATAAGGTCATGTGTGTTGTATTAGGGTGCACTCTAAGTTCGCTAGGACTGGCATGGGAATTTGGACACAGAGACACAGATACACAGGTTAGAACATCATGTGGAGATAGAGGCAGAGACTGGAGTGATGCATCTACAGTCCCTTAAAGTGTCCCAAGAGTTGCTGGCAACCACCTGAAACTTGTACTGAAACAGGGAACAGATTCTCCCCCGAGAGCTTCCAGAAGGAACAAACCTCACAAACACCTTAATTTCAGACTTTCATCTCCCAGAATGGTGAGAGCATGAATTTCTGTTGTGTTCCTTCTTTGGGGCAGCCCTAGGAAACTAATATAACATCCGTGGCCATTCCCTATGCTTCTAATTAGTTCTAAAACAACTAACTGGATAAAACCACTCTTTAGAGTTCGCCACCACGGATGGAGACTGAATCCATTGGAAAACCGTCATGAGAAACAGATACTATGGCTTCCAGGACCACACATAGAGCTACAGACTAAGACATTTGTCCTCTTGAGGCCTTTACTTGGCACAGACAAGACAGAAAGTGAATTTACACTTCTAATCCAGGCCAACCACCTTACTCTTAGAAAGCCCCCAAGGCCCCTATCTGTATGTCGGTAAAAAACAAAACAAGACAGACAAAAACTTGTTAACTGACTTAGACTCAACCATCTTCTTCCAGGAAGGGTTCCCCTTCTCCAGCCCTCTGGGACAAAACACTACAGACAGCTGGTAGACTCCCAGGAAGCTCACAAGAGGAAGCTCAGAAGTATTCTGGAAACATGATAAGGGAAGCTCTATTAGTTACTAATTCTGATAACCCTGGCCTCCATTCCTGAACACGAATGGATAACCGCAAATGACCAAACAATATGAAGAGAATAAGCAAGTCAAGAAGGATGAGGGAGACACGGGACATTTGGTCTCCGACGAAGCCAAAAGATGAGATCAGTGCTTTTAAAAATTGCATGAATGTCTTCAGTATATGTACTTCATAAAAATCAATAAAGTTGCTCGGTAAAAGGAACTATTGGAAAGCAAAGAAATAAACAAAAAGCTCAATATCAACCCGAATAAATGAGGGAAACATTGATTATAGAAAAATAATGGTGATTTAGGGACTTCCTTGAAACGGTTTTATAAAGCAGGAAGCAAAAATTAAATGCCAGCATCAGAAAAACAAAAGTATATGAAAAAGAGAAATGGATGATCTAAATTCCACAAAACAGAAGTCCCACAAGTAGACTAGTGGGGGTGAAGAAAAAGCAAAGCTTTAAACGCATAAAAACAGAATTTTTCAGCTCTTATGAACGATTGGAGTATTTCTATCAGAAAGACAATGGGGGCGGGGGACCACCCATAGATATCCTGGTGAAACTTCAGAGTTTGTAGAATAAGAGGAAAGTTTTGCAAGTCTTAATCAGGAAGGAAGAAAAATGAAACTAGGTGACTTACAGAGAAACATAGGACTATGTGTCTATGTTAATAAGTACTAAAAGGCAATTTAAAACCTATTGGAACAGCTAACAATTTTTTACAACTCTGGCAACCTCAAACCCCGGTGAGGCTATATACCAAAAGAGATCTTACTTCACTTTGCTGATGGGAATGCAAAATAGTCTGGCAGAATCTTTTAAAGGCAAACATCGACTTACCATATGACCCAGCAATCACATTCCTAAGTATTTACCCAAATAAACTGAAAATTTATGTGCGTGGAAAAGCTTGTGGGTAAATGATCCCGTAAACCGGAAACCACCAAGATGTCCCTCAACAGGGGAATGGTTAAACTGAGTACAACGGCCTGAATGTGTGTGTGGTCCCCAAATTCATATGTTGAAATCCTAATCCCCAACATGATGTCGTTAGGGGTGGGGCCTTTGAGAGGTGTATTAGTCAGGGTTCTCCCAAGAAACAGAACCAATGGGAGATACAGAGATATATAGAAAGAGATTTATTAGGAGCGACTGACTCGCATGATTATGATTATGGAGTCTGAGAAGTCCCACAATCTTCCTTCTACCTGCAAGTTGGAGGCCCAGGAAAGCGAAGAACCAGAGGAGCCAGTGGTGCAATTGCCAGTCCGAGTCTGAAAATCCAAGGATTAAGCGTGCTAATGTTGGGGGAAGATGGCTGTCCCAGCTCAACCAGAGAGCAAATTCACCCTTTTTCCACTTTTTTGCTCTATTCAGGCCCTAAACAGGGTGGATGATGCCACCCGAATTGGTGAGGGTGATGGGCTTTACTCAGTCACCCAATCTCTTCCATAATCTCTTCTGGAAACATCCTCAAAGACACACCCAAAAATAATGCATCTGGGCATCCCTTAGCCCAGTCAAGTTGACACATCAAATTGACCAACACAGAAGGTAATTAGGTCATGAAAGTAGAATGGGATATTCATAAATGGGATGAATGCCCTTATAAAATTGACCCCAGGGCTCTCTGGCCCTCTTCTGCTGTCACGTGAGGATGAAGCAAGAAGACAGCAGAACGGTTCTCACCAGAACCCAATCATGCTGGCGCCCTGATCCTGGACTTTCAGCTTCCAAAACTGTAAGAATCAAATTTCCATCTAGTCTATGGTACTTTGTTACAGCAGTCTGAACGAAGACTCCTGTATTCATACATTGGAACGCTATACAGTGACAAAATGAATAAGCTATTGATTTATTCAACCATATGGATGAACCTTAAATACATTTTGCTAAATGAAACATGTCAGAACCAAAAGGCTTCATATTGTATGATTCCATTCGTGTGACATATATATATATATAGTTGGCCAAAAAGTTCATTCGGTTAGTGAATATGTTGTTCGATAAAGTTCTTCATGAAAATGAAAAATGTCTTTTATTTGTACTTAAAACCAAACGAACTTTTTGGCCAACCCACTGTTAGGATGAATAAATAAGTAAATGAATGATGGATAATATTTCACCATCAGAGATGAAAGTTATAAATTAACAAGGGGGCAAAGATAAGATCAACCTGTGATACCGGATTAGAGTTGGAGACGTCTGACATGTTTAGCATTTTAGCATCATATATACATATGATACTAAAACGTCTATTTATATATGTATATATATACACACACACACACACATTTTGTGGATATATAGATGGGTAAACAAACATTATATGTATGTGTACATATGTGCATACACACACACACATTTCCCAGCTTTGTCCACTGTGAGGGATCTAGAAACAGTGGCATTCCAGTAGCAAAGAGCAAACCCAGTGTCCATTTACTGGAACTCTTTTCCAATAAATGGAACTGGGGCTTCCCGGAGAAAGAGCTGATTATAAATCCGGAACAGGGAAAAATAGAAGGTGACCCCAGAACATCTTGGGACCTTATTCCTTTACCTTGAGGCTGCACTGTAGGTAGCCAGTAGCCACTCATGGCTACTGAGCACTGGAAACGTGGCCAGGACAAGTTGGCATGTGAGACACTCGCTGGATTTTGAAGACTTACTAGAAAAAGAGTGTAAAAATCTCGATATTTTTAATATTGATTATGTGTAAACATTTTGCATACATTGACCTACATAAAATGTTATTAAAACTAATTCCACCTGGGGCTTTTTTGGTTTTTGTTTTTTGCTATATATTTTTTAACATCTTTATTGGAGTATAATTGCTTTACAATGGTGTGTTAGTTTCTGTTAGTTTATAGCAAAGTGAATCAGTTATACATATACATATGTTCCCATATCTCTTCCCTCTTGCGTCTCCCTCCCTCCCACCCTCCCTATCCCACCCCTCCAGGTGATGTATATATATACACACACACACACACATTTTGTGGATATATAGATGGGTAAACAAACATTATATGTATGTGTACATATGTGCATACACACACACACATTTCCCAGCTTTGTCCACTGTGAGGGATCTAGAAACAGTGGCATTCCAGTAGCAAAGAGCAAACCCAGTGTCCATTTACTGGAACTCTTTTCCAATAAATGGAACTGGGGCTTCCCGGAGAAAGAGCTGATTATAAATCCGGAACAGGGAAAAATAGAAGGTGACCCCAGAACATCTTGGGACCTTATTCCTTTACCTTGAGGCTGCACTGTAGGTAGCCAGTAGCCACTCATGGCTACTGAGCACTGGAAACGTGGCCAGGACAAGTTGGCATGTGAGACACTCGCTGGATTTTGAAGACTTACTAGAAAAAGAGTGTAAAAATCTCGATATTTTTAATATTGATTATGTGTAAACATTTTGCATACATTGACCTACATAAAATGTTATTAAAACTAATTCCACCTGGGGCTTTTTTGGTTTTTGTTTTTTGCTATATATTTTTTAACATCTTTATTGGAGTATAATTGCTTTACAATGGTGTGTTAGTTTCTGCTTTATAACAAAGTGAATCAGTTATACATACACATATGTTCCCATATCTCCTCTCTCTTGTGTCTCCCTCCCTCCCACCCTCCCTGTCCCACCCCTCTAGGTGGTCACAAACCACCGAGCTGATCTACCTGTGCTACCTGTGCTATGCGGCTGCTTCCCACTAGCTATCTATTTTACGTTTGGTAATGTATATATGTCCATGCCACTCTCTCGCTTTGTCACAGCTTACCCTTCCCCCGCCCCCATATCCTCAAGTCCATTCTCTAGTAGGTCTGTGTCTTTATTCCTGTTTTACCCCTAGGTTCTTCATGACATTTTTTTTTCTTAAATTCCATATATGTGTGTTAGCATACGGTATTTGTCTGTCTGCTATTTTTAAAATGTGGCTGATAGAAAATGTAAAATTACACGTATGGCTCTCATATTTCTTTCGGGCAGTACTGACTTCAGAGGGCAGGGCTGTGGTCAGCAGAACTGAACTAGCACCCTGGCTCAGTCCCTCCTGGCTCTGTGGCTCTGGGCAAATATCTTACCCTCTCTGACCCTCAGTTTTGGCCTGTGGGTTTGGGGGAAAATGGAGTATCAACCTGCTTGGGACGCTTTTCGCACCATGCCTTGGACACTTTAGTAATTGCCTTAGAATAAGTACTGAAGAAATAACTGAATACATTATAACTGTGGTTATAATTCTCAGGCTGGTTCCTGTTAAAATGCAACATCTCAGCAATTCCTCCAATAGACACACACACACCCTAAGGCACAGAACTTTCGCGATTCTATCTCAGAGCCAATTTTAAGGGTGAAATAAACAGTCTGGCACAGTGAGGACAGACTCGGAAAGGCTGCCCCCTAGGGGCCAGCGGAGGAAGGATTACCATCGGGGAGGCTGCAGCTCTGGCTGCCCGGCGCTGGGTGTGGGGAACTGCGGTCCCAGCCCACTTGTCACTCATCGTTTAAGAGCCCAGAGCTTAAAGAGATACACACATCCACCGCCGCCCCTTCTGGCGCTTCGGACCCTGGAGAGGGGAACCTGGGAAGAACTAGATCAGACTGTGTCTAGAGCTGGGGAAGGGATAAGGGACGGAGGAAAGCCGAGGGGGAGGTACAGGGAAGCTGGAGTTCAGAGGCTGTTGACGTCAACCGAGACAGGCAGGGTTGGCCGGCCGGGGCAAAACTGAGAAACTGGTAATATTTGCTTAGGCAGGGCTGTCAGTAATAACTAACTTGTGTACAGGGTGTTGCTTTCAACGACATCACCTTTACACCTCCCTATGACGCATCTTGACAGGGAGGGAGCGGGCGTGGAGAGGTCACAGGCTCACGGGGAGTGTTCGGACAAGAGCTGAACAACCTATTGTTCCCGCTCAGCAGCCTCCCGTAAGGGATTTGATCGGATCCCTAACTCCACTGGCCTCCGTGTACTCGTTTACCTACTAATTCAACAGAGTAAACAAAGACAGTAACGCCCACAGCAGCAGGGCTGTTATTAGGGTTAAATGGCACCCGTTATGCAGAGGTGCTTTGATAAGGCAGGATTGTAAAAGTTTCCCTGGGAGACTCCCGTTTAATAAATTGATGTCAGTCTTGGGACTGAGTTATTCTAGAACACTCTAACCAAGCTGCCAGTGATGGTGACCGGTGTCCGGCACAACCATGGGGACAATTTCGTGTAGGTACTTTGTGAACAATATCATCTGGGATACCTCCTCTGCTGCAGTGTCCTAAGATCAGGGCAGAAAGGGGTGTGTGTGGATCCCCGTCACTGAAATATAACCCCTTCAAGCCACAGAACCCCTGCACCCTTCACACCCCTGCAGCTGGTAATCTCTGGAAATTCTCTTGAACAGATGCCCCTCTTGAACTGCCAGTTCCTCACGGGTTACCGGGAACAGCGGCTGGCACACCTGGTCCTAACCTTTATTACCATGGGATATGTCTGGCAGGATGGAGAGGCACAGCCCAAAGAGGTAGGGACAAAGGGACACCTGTCCTGTCATCTGGCAGGTCTGCTGCACCTGGAGGACGCTCCCTACAAAGGTCTGCTGCACCTGGAAAACGCTCTCTGTTTGCCTGGAAAATGGGTCCTTTCTTGTTCTTTCCTTTGAGTATGAGGTGAAGGAAGGGCAAAGGGCCCATTTAAATGAGAACACCTTTTTCCCCTGGCCAGGAGGTTAATTTTCCTTAGAACTGGTAGCCCTCTCATTAGTTTTTGAATTTTGTTTTTTCTGGCACCCACCCTCTTCCAAGAATTGTGAAGAGCTGCATTTGAAGGCAAGTTCTGAGGTGTCATAGAAAACTTAATGATTTCCATTTTACAGCAGTTTGTGCTCTTATACACATCCGTAATCACAGTCAATGTTCACAATCCCATAAGGTAAGTACAGCAATGCTGTGCCCATTTTACAGATGGCTGAGGACTACAGGAGCTAAATTCCTTGCCCAAGGTCAGATAGCAAGTTCGTGGAAAATCCAGGGCCACAACTCAGACCCTCTGATTTCACTAATGTAACCTTCTTTCCCCAGAGGGGAAGAGCACACATTGCCATTTATAACACTAATCTTACTTTCTTGAATGTTGCTTGCTATCTACCAAATATTGGTCTGTGTCCCTTAATAATTCATGTAAATCTCTTCTGAATCTTTTCATAACTTTTTCCAGTTTCAATCTGAAACTTGGAACGTGAAATCTTTGTTTCCCTAACTGCAGTATAAATTCCTATTAGTTTCATTTTTTTATAAACGGACGTTCTCCAGAAATGAGGGTGTTACCCTTGTTCTAGTACTTTTCCCGCTTGAGTCAGCAAGCAGCCTGTGCTTATTTTGTTTGCTTGTTTGATTCTACCTTTTCTCTCTCAAGTAAATACAGGAGCCTCCCAGTGAGAAAAGAAAGGAAAGTAAGAAAGGAGAGAAGAGGAAAGCACAGAGCTGCTTCGGACTCTTTAAAAAGAGTCATGTGTCTGATGTTGGAAAGTCTGAGATCTAGGCACATACACAGGACATCCCAATGGGCTTTCCGTTCTCCAAACCACAATCCTCAATCAGGGGAAGGGGTGGGAGCCCCCTGTCACACCCCACCCCCGCCTCGGGCCGTCTCTTACCTTCTTTGTATCCCCTCCTTTCACTTCCTCACTATGGAGACACCTCATTTCTGCACTGCCCTACTCATCCACTGCCCCCCAAGGGAAGCTTGGCCTTAGGTTTGAATCTGAAAACTCTTTAAAGCTCTTTATTGTTTTCTACCTGAGAAACAGTTCTGTCCCAACTCTCTCTAAAAATCTAAGGGAAAACAAAGGCAGAAGCTGGACTTCTTTGAGTAGATTAAGGGGAAGGAAAATGGAAGTGGGAGACAGGAAGCATAAGAATGTTCTTTTGGATCTGGACTAATTTAGCCTTGTTCGTGGTTGGAGTCCCCCACTGGTATCCCCATGGGTCCGGGTAGTTTTTCTGGATTTGGGGGCATATAGGGTTCTTTAGAGTGTCCTAGGATAACTCAGGGGTTGAATGGGGACTGTCTTGAGGTGACTTACTCGAAGTTGTTATTGGGTTTGATGAAGCGTTCTATCCTTCCCATCCCTCTCCCTGAGGAGAGGATACACACACACACACACACACACACACACACACACACACGCACGCGCGCGCGTGCGCACACGTGTGTGCATACAAACACATACGCATATGCTCCTAAAACTTAGACTATACACAAAAACACACATATATCTAGATAGCTACATATCTGTCTGATCTATTTATCTGGAGATATATAGATAGATAGAGATTTTTTCCCACTGCTCATCAACTCAGCCCCCATTTATGGTTAAACATTTGCTCAGGCCCTTCTCTGCACAATATTCAGAGATTATTTTATACTATATGTGTAAGTGTGTGTGTTCCAGTTTTGTAATTTTCATATATATTTCAGACCGTACTCATAAACAATATATCCACTAGGTTGTTAACAGAATAAATATGAGAATGAGGTGTGTGTATATGGATCACTCATATAATTCCAGTTTTATCCCCGGCTCGTTGCTCTACCACAAGATTGCCAGAATAAAAGACAGATTGCTTCCTCTGCTGCATTCTTTCTAGAATGTGCTAATTGTCTGGATTTATATCTGCAAGGTTCTGCCGAGAACCCTTGCCCTTCCCTTGGTCGAGGTCTCCAGGAACTTGGGGCTCCCTCCTATCCTGCTTCACTCGGACGTGGTTCTGGCCAACTGGGCTACTAGGAACCCAGGAAGGTAAGAGCGGGAGGGGGCGCTTGGGATTTGCACAGATTAAAACCGGTTAAGGGAGAGTCTGACTTTTCCTTCCCTCTGCAGGAAAAGTCCAGGCTTTGTCAGCTATTCTGTGATTAGAGGTGTTCATATTTATTACCTGATTTACGGTGCCAAGGAAGGGGTGAACTTGAACACAAGTTCAGAAATCACAGTTCCCAGGAGCTTCCTCTCAACCCACTCTGAAAACATTGGGGCAGGTTAATTGCAAGTATATAAAAGGAGCAGTATCAATTGTCAGGATGGCCACAGGCTAAATGCTCTGGGGCTGATGCGTAAATTGAGATCTACCTGCCTCTTTGTCGCTCTGAGGACGGTAGGGGAGGAAAAGCTTGCCCTTCTTCCCATTTAGGCTGCTTAGCTGGTCTAATAATCAAATTGACATCAGATAGGGGAACAGGAGAAAAACAAATTTAATTTTGTACGTATTAGATCCCCATAAAAAGATGAGACTCGAATATGCGACTAAAGCCGGAAGCTTGTATATCTTCTAGATGGGGAAGCAATGCATTTATGAAGAATTGACAAGACACAGGTTTTTGGGCTTGGGTTAGCTAACTAGGGAAGAGGTAACAAGGTTTGTTTATACAGGCTTCTCAGCCCTGAATTCCTGTCTCTGGTGATAAGGCTGTCTCTCTACTTCCTGGTACAGGGAGGGGGCCTTCACATGGGAGATTTATTTCCTACTTTCAGGGGCACAAAGAGGTCCGAGTGTCCTTTTGGCACCTGCTGTTTCTCAAGTACCTTGAATTCAAAATAATCAATACACCTAAGTGGCATATTTGGGGTGGTCTATTCTGCTCCCCTCAGGCCCACGGTCTAGTCACAACCTGTGACATCCAAACTGTGCACGATGTGTGTGTGTCTGCACTTGCATTTGCACACAAGTGTGCATGCCTGTGTCCACGTGACCCTAGAAGGCATATCAGGTTTGCAAACTGATTTGTTCTCTTCTTTTTCTTTCCTTTTGTCAATAACTGAAATTGGACTAGACCCCTGGAAATCAGGTAAGTTCTCAGAAATCCTTCACTCACTTTAGGATCCTTGCTAACTGTAAAAGCTTACAATAAAACCGACAAGCAAAAAAAAGAGAAAGCATACCGCATTGTATGTATAGTACATAAAACATATAAAAATGCATGAAAAAATAGTAGAAGGAAATGTGCCCCAAATCAACAGCCCAAAAGTTAACAGTAGTGGTCTCTGCTTTGTAGAGATTAAGGGATTAATTTCCTTTACTACGTTTTCCAATTTGTACATAATAAAACAAGTAAAATGCAATGTAAGAAGAGAAAGAAAACAAACCAAAACCCCCCAAAACCCCCAAACTTCACCAGTTCTCCAATTCTCTGTGATTTTTTGAAGTCTTAATGATCTGAGAAAGATCTCTGGTCTCACTGCAACCTCTCTGAAAGGCCAAATTGCTGGCTGTGGCTGCTACAGCTACAGAATTCCTTTGAAAATATTACATAGACTGGAGCTCGTGGGGCAAGTCTGGTCCAGATGTTCTTAGGCTCCTGCTTCCCCAGGGAGCACAGTTAACCTCTAAGTTGACACTGCCTCTCCGGTCACCAAACCTCAGCTCAGTAAAGGGGCTCAGTATAAAAGCTGTAGCTCAGAAGATGGAGAGATGAAGCCTGAAGACCCCATTTCCCACACTAATGTGACTCTGCTGAAACTACGGGGGTCCCCGGCTGAGTTATCTTTTGTGTTTGTTTTTCATGTCTTCTCATGTTTTAGAGGCAGAAGTGACTTTTGGAATGAAGTTTTATGTTTTGTAGACTGGATCCGCCTCTGGGCTATTTGAATCCGTGTGATAACAGATCATTTAAGAATGATCCCTCTGTAACAGTCTTCAGCTTTCACTATTATAATACAGAATTTTGGGGAAAAAATGACTAATTAGAGAGAGCACTAGCCTGAGCTATGAAACTGTTCTGGACCAGGTCCAGTGACTAACCAGCTGGATGCAATTGGGGAAGCGATTTTGCTTCTTTGGGCCATAGTTTTCTGTCTGTAAAAAAGGAGCATGGAATTAGCTGTTGCCTGTGGTCACTGCAGCATTAAGACACTGTGCTCCTAACAGGAAGGGTGTGATGGGCCCCGGACTGGCCCTGTGAAGAATCAGCCCTACTTGTCCCCTCCTGCTTTAGCAGTTCCACAGCAGGGGCCGGGGGCGGGGGCGTTGGGGGATGGTCTGGGACCATCCGGGCCATGCTAGACTCTGGGAGTCCTCAGGTGAACTTGGGCTGGAGCAGATCTGTCTCTTTCCTACCTGAATGTTGCTGGAGGGAAGATGCCCATCCTCGGGCTGCCCTGTGGAGAGAAGAACATCAGCCTCTGGTTCCACCTTGGACTATAGCAGTTACCTGACTCGAGGCCACCGCTGGGCCGTGCGTACTCACTGTGTCCAGACCTTTCTAACCACGTGGTCATGTCCCTCCCAAGGAACTTGGACCCCATTGTCTTATTCCCTGGGGGAGAAAGCCTGCGTGGTTTTATACTGGTGACTGTTTTGGTGGAGAAAGCAGCTGTACCCGGGATTAAGGTATCTTCCCACTCACAGAACTTTTTTTTTTTTCTAAATGAAAAGTCAGTCTGAGCTTTGCTTCCCACCCAGGCCCTTTCCCTGCAGTGAATTCATCAATACAGGCCTCATCTTACTTGGTTAGTTGAGCAAAGAGATTTAAGTTCTGGCCCACAGAGATATCTATCTACCTTTCCTCAACTACTGTAAAATACACAGTTGACCGTTTGCCCATCAACAAACAAGCATTGTTCTAGGCAATGGGAGATCTGGGGGAATAAGACAGATATTGCTCTGGCTTCCACAGAGGCTCAGGATCCAGTGGACGAGGGTGCATCAATGTAGGGAGTAACATGAAGAAAAGTGCCATGTTTCATGGAAAGACGTCTAAAACCTAATTCAGACTTGAAGGGTCGGGCAAAGCTTTCCAAGGGAAATGACAGGTCTGAAAGTTAATACCTGACTAATGTAAAGGAATTAAGCAGAGAAAGAGACAGAGACAGAGACAGAGACAGAGATGCTGATGCCTGGAACTGCCATGCAAGGGCTCTGAGTTAAAATGAACCATCCTTGAGATTACTTAGCCCTGGGGGTTGTAAACTTGAATTCCTTTAGGGGTCAGGCAGGTCCCAGAAAGGTCAGGTGTCTGCCAGAGAATCCATGCCCTGCCTGAAGATATTGAAGTTAGATTTCTGTCCTTCCTCACTACCTTCCCTGGCAAGCGTATTTGGGTGCCTACTGTACCTACTGTAGGGTGACCAGATAGGGCTACAACTAGTATAGCTCCCTCTTACACTCTCAGAAGTGAAACCATGTGGTCACTTTACTTCTCATCCGTGTGTTTATTCCATAGAAAGAATACAGAATACTGGTCTTCCAAATATAGCTCAGATAAGGTCGAGACTGCTAATGAAGGGGGGTCTGAGCTGAGGGCTCCACAATTCTGGTTTTCTGTAAGACAGAGCTCAGGGGTGAGGCCTTCCTGAGTCAAGACGCAGGAGTAGAAAGAAGCCTCATGTGTAATAACTCAAGAAGCAGAAAGGAGGAAAATGACAGAGTGAAGGCCCTGATCAGCCAGTGGAAAGATCCAGAAAGACCTAACCAGGTCCGTCTGGGAGGTGACCAGGAAGATTCTCCTTTGAGAAGGACCTCACGGCAAATGTAGTTTAGGAGCACTCCCTGGGGAGCCCTGTCACACAGCCAGCAGGCAGAGGGCTGCCCTTCCTGGATTCCCCCCCCACCCCACCCCGTCTCTGAGGCTCACTGCATCACAATGTGTCTTCAGTGAATGCTAACGCATTGTGAGACTGAATCTCATCCCCAGGCCCTTGTTCAGGCGGTGAATGCCATCTTGCTGCCCAGCCCAGACTCCCTGCTCCAAGCCCTGCAGCGACTGAGGCTCTCCATTCAGGACATCACCAGAGCCTTGGGACAAATGCATGGTAAGGGGGTTCTGAAGCCTGAGGGGGGGGGGGG